AAAAAAAAAAAAAAAAAAAAAAAAAAAAAAAAAAAAAAAAAAAAAAAAAAAACACGGGGAGAAAAAGAAGAAGAAGAAAACATCAATCGAAACAAACTTTGAGAAGCACATCGCCTGTGCCGCGAGAACAAACTCCCAGCCCTGCCAACGCGACGAAGAGAAAATGGTCGGTGCAGCTGCCAAAGCAAAGAGAGAGAGAGAGAGAGAGTATCGTGCGCTCTGGCACGATTTTTGCGTCGGCCCCCTACATCACGCTTTTCCTCGTACGGAAGCGCCTGCACAAACAACACGCACCAGACGATCCAGCCAATTAAAGTCACGGGCGCAGACGAGGCGAGAACAACGCAAAAGGAGCCCGTCCGCGCGTGACATGCCGCCCCCTCGCTACCGAGGCTCAAGTTTAGCTCGTTTTAGCGGAAGATGGGTTTGCTCTTTGGCCTAGGAGAGAAAAGAGAGAGAGAGAGAGGATGAAAAAAAAAAGAAAGGTAATACCTATGGATACAACCCGCTCACTCGCTCGCGCATTTATCAGGATTTTCAAGGGAGCACGGGACACTTTTTAAGCCGTCATAAATTTGGCGAGGACCTCTCTCTCTCTCTGTCTTTGAGGCATCGCTGGATAGAGAGAAAAAAAAGCCGTCGCATTAATGACGTTTGAAGATTGGAAACGCGAGGGGAAGAACACCGGGGACATTCGGGGAATTTAAGGAAAAGTGCCCATACCGTGGTCCTCCCGATTCCGCAGCAATAAGTCTGGATTTTGTCAGGGCGATGGTTCCCCTCCACCTTCCTTTGCACCCGCGTAGCCGAACGGAGAGTTTGAATTTCGGATTTTTCTTTCATTCCAGGGGGTTTGACTGGGAGGTGAATTTATAGGGCTACACTGCTGAAACTCGGATGGAAATAATAATAAAAAAAAAAAATTGCACTTGAAGGAGGAAAAACACAATTACGCCGTTGAAGAGCACTTTCGTGGATGTGTACACATCGTTAGATCCGTAGCTACCTCGTTACGGCAAACTACGCGTCGAAGATTCACAAAAAAAAAAAAAAAAAAAAAAACAACTAGTACCCGCACAGACAGACGCACCCGCAAAAACAGTCTCGTAGAGCAAACGAGGAAGGAAGAGGGGAGAGAAAAAAAAAAGGAAGAAAAAACAGTGTAAAACGAAAAGTTGGTGCACGGTAAAGTTACCGAAAGCTACAGCTGAGCTCGCACATCAGAGATATAACTCACGAATTTGCCGACGCAACGAGTAGAGTAGGTATAA